TCTTGGTACCTGTGCTGGTGTGATATTGGCATGCTAAGATGCTTCCTAGGAGATGGATAGGTGTTAGAATTTCATGTCAACCCAAAAATGTGTAAACAGTTACCATGGCTGTGCTGGGCTTAACAGCAGCTAAGTTCATGTGAGCCAGAAAAACAACTAGGGCCAACTGGACTTCTGTCTAACTCAGAATCCTGTCTGCAGTTGCTCAGTAACAGGGAAAACACAGTGGTCAGTGTTGTGTTTTTTTCAGGATAGGACATCTTGCACTCCCAGGTGCTGACCCCCTGAGTCTCAGAGATGTCAAGTGAGGGCCTTTGGTGATAGTGGGGGTCTGTGCTGTGTGCCCCAGATAGACAGGAGGTGCTTAGGCAGGAAGAAAGTATAGGAGTAGGACAAGTGTTTGATGGTAATTCTCTGACTGATGTCCTGGTTTTGGTGGTTAAGGAATTCCTGAGCTAAAGAAGTTGTACTTTTATTTCTAATAATTCTCAGTACATTTTTTGTCTCTTAATTTTTGACTTCTGAATTAAGCCCCTCTTAAGTATCCTATGGCAGGGAGCTGTGCGCTTGAACTTCATGTTGTGAAGGAGTATCTGCTCTGCTTTTCCTCTGCGCCTGCCAATTTCACCTGATGCTCAATAATCCTTAGTCTGGAAGAGGCAGCAGACAAGTCACTCCAATAGTGTAACCCAGCTTTTGAAAAGAGAATTTCCTAAACAAACTAACCTCTAGAGAAGAAAACTCTTCCCTTTTCTTGTGAGTCCCATCGGAATATTGGTTCGGTTGTGTTCTGGAGGATATTTTTACTGAGTGGCAGCAGTACACTACTTGGACATAAAACATTATTTGGTGGTTTATAAGAAAATGGAGGCTTTTATTTTTTGAAAATCTAAAAATTTTAATGCTTGTGAGCAATAAAAATAGAAACCTAAACTTAATGTCATGTTATATTGTACTTTTAATGACAGTTATTTTTTTCTTAGCCCTCAGAGACTGAAAGTCTTCTTAACTCTCTCTTCCACACTAGGAGGCAAGTGAAGCCTACTTGGTTGGCCTGTTTGAAGATACCAACCTGTGTGCTATCCATGCCAAACGTGTCACAATCATGCCAAAAGATATCCAGCTAGCACGCCGCATACGTGGAGAGCGTGCCTAAACTTCACCACGATGGGTTTGTCATTCTCGAAGCAAAATCTTCTTTCTGTTATTGGTAGTAATGAACGTTAGATATTTTTTCCATGGGGTTAAAAGGTACCTTAAGTATATGGTTGCAAGTGGAAAAATAGGGGACAGTATTGGGTATTGGCAAGTTTTTTTTCCATTTTCATTTGTGTGTGGATTTTTAATATAAATGAGGGGACATGAAACAATCAGTGTGGTCAAAAAAAATAGCAATTGTTGAAACTCGTTCACCAAAACAACTTTATAAAAAAAAAATAATTATAAATAGACCTGTCAAATTTTTCTGGACTATGCCAGCATTTGGATTTTTTTAAACAAGTAAATTTCTTATCAATGGCAACTAAATGGTGTTTGTAGCATTTTTACCATACAGTAGATTCCATCCATTCACTATACTTTTCTAACTGAGTTGTCCTACATGCAAGTACATGTTTTTAATGTTGTCTGTCTTCTGTGCTGTTCCTGTAAGTTTGCTATTAAAATACATTAAATGATGCTTGCTTTTAGTCTTGATTTTTAAATATCACACATGGGTTATAACTGATTAAAAAAATCTCCCTTCCCTTCCCTTTTTCTCTTCAATATGTGGCCTGAATACTTAGAACAGATTTAGGAAACACTGGAGATACCACCTTGGCTGAAGTAATGTATAGACAAGAGGTTTTGAGAGTGTAAAATTCCAGTCTGCTCCATGTGAAAGCAAGTTTGATGAGTGTATTATCAGCTAGAGTCTGGAACTGGGCTGAGCTGTCTAAGCTACAGTGCTAAGAAAAAGCAATCTGTTGCCATTTGGATTCCTTTCTTACTCAACTTCATGCTGAATTTGGAGGCATTTCCGATTTTCATGGTTTGTTGGTGTGATATAAGTGGTGGGGTGTAGTGGTTTGGGTTTTTGGTATTTTTGGGGGGGTTTCTTTGTTGTTTTTTTTTTTAACTCTTATTTAGTTTCTCAGCTTGTAGGTGTTCACATTTTGGTTGATTACCTTTCTGTTTCAGTCACACCCTCTAGCATTTTTGAGAGCTCAGTCCACATATGTTTACTTTAGGTTCATACACTCCAATCAGAAAGACGCTTTTGTACCGTTTTTACTGGTTACAATACTTCATAGAAGCAGTATTCAGGATCACACATTGAAAACTTACTGGGTTTTTTTATATTCCCTCCTCAGTTGCTGATGAAAGTTGATGTTGAAGAAATTTACTGCTGAAATTATGTTCTACAAAAACTTGGGTTTAATTTTTCACCTGAAACTGATAAAAGGATTCTGATGGACCAGCCTGGAAATGAGTTATGTGGTGTACTTCCTGATATCTCTTGCAGATAATGAAATGGGTTTACATAGAAAATACTTAGGTGGTGAACAGATTTCACCTCTGTGTTAAGATTCCTGCAGAGCTTATTTGCTACTAACTTCTTTCAAGAGGTTTTGAGTCAGCTCTAAACACGAGTGAATTTGTCTGAAGATTTCCAAAGAGGATTAATAGAGATATATTATCTGCTTTGGTATCTTGAGCAGAGAGCCAAAAATTACAGCATAAATCACATTATTCATAACTTGCTCAGCTTTAGTAATGAGTGCTGTCTGCCAGGGTTGTGCAAAGTAAAGTCTATTTAAATGGAGTAGCTTGTCACAGAGAAGACTTAATGCTAGACAAAATGTGATCACACCCTTTTGATGCCAAGCAGTTCATAGCTATCAACTGAAAATTAAGGAAGACTTGTCTTGGAGCATCTAGAACAACAGAAAAATAAAAGGTGAGCGACTGAGATTTCACTGATTTAAGATGTCACTTCTGTCTACTTGATAGCAACCCTGTTAAACTTGTTGTAAATGCATTTCAATTTAATTAACTACTTGTTTTGTCCCATACTTCAGAATTCTGTTTCATCTATCAGTCAACAGTGCTGCAAGCACCTACACAGAAAGGTAATTAGGCTGTGGGTTTTTTGGTTTAATAACCTGGAATTGAAGTATTGATAAGGAGCTTAAATTTTGTCTTTCTTAGTTATATTAGGAAACCAAATTAGAGATTTTGGGACTCGAATGAAATACTGAGCTCTTTCTCTTAAAAGAGAGAATTGGGGTGAGGCATATTCCAGTTTAATTGACAATGAGCTAAACTCTTCAAGGCAGAAGGAATCCTGATAGAAGATAAGGGGGTCAGGGATCTATGCAGATGACATTTCAGTATGCAGTGCTACACCTGCAGCTTAGGGATAGATTTTACCTTCTTGAGAGTGTTGGTTATGGCAGTTGTGGTCCTAGAGATGCCACATGAATCCTGTCAGTGATTAGCTGTCTATGCCTATATTGATGGCAAGAAACTTCAATTTCTAAAATAGTTTACTTTTTTTTTCCCATACCAATTCTGCTATTTCCTGGGCAATTCAGTTCCAGCCGAGATCATGAATAGTAGAAACAAGTTGTGATCATGTGGACATACTTCTGTGGAGGACTTTAACTGTATTGGGTGCAGGGATGGATGTGAAATGGCTCCTTCTTAGTAACAAACATATTCAAAAGCTGAACATCATTTTAAGGCATATTGTTTCATGTATGGCCACAGCTCTATTTCTGAATTATTTTTGTGAAGTCTTTTTTAATGTTTGTGATGCTGGTTTTTAGGTCTTTGTTTTAGATTTGTGTGTTAACATCTGAATTTACTTGCTGTTTTCTCAAGAGTAAATACAAAACCTCAAGTTGGTTGCTTTGTATTAGCAACACAAAAAGCCAACTTGCTTACTAGAGCCAAAAATTATTGTGGGAAATAATTTCAGACACAAGACCAGTCTCTCTTGTGTCTCTGTACAAAATTCAGCTGGCAGTTCTGGAGAGCTTGGCTAACATGGAGCTTAAAACCAGCATTTCAGATTTTGGTTGGAAAAGTAACTTGCTGGAGATGAAGTAACTAATGTCAGTGTACCTGTGTTTTAAGTGATGCATCTCTGGGCTGTGTTCCTCTAGCCCTTTATCCCACCTGGCAGTAGCTATTAGGTGATGCCACAGTCCAGGGGCCAGATCCATTCATGCCTGCTCTGTGACAAGTTGTACGTACTCGAAATTGGTAATGCCATCCTGATAAGGAAGGAGAGCTAAGTGTATCTTGTTTCCATTAAAATAAAGTCCCACTAACAGTCTCACACTGGTGAATATTTGGGTTGCTTTTTGTAACTTGTGGTTACTGTCCCAGGACATGCATTTTTGCCTTCTGACTTTCACGGCGTTTTGTGACCACTTAGTGATTTCAATCCACTTTTTGGTGTGACTGAAACATATGTCACACATCATTTTTGGTCAATTAGCCAAATAATTTGACTCAGCATATCCCCTTGATGTAAAGCACTAGAGCAGGCAGGAGGATAGGGTTATTCTTTTCCCTAGCAGTATACAGTTTTGGTTCAGTACATTTAATCCAAACTTGTGCCTGTGCTACCATACCAATATCAGCTTTTCCTTCCACACTTGCCTCTGTGGTGGGTTACTTCAGTTTATCTTCTGGAGCTTAATTTTAAATTCAAGACTTAATGAGGTACAAGTAATACAGAGATCAAATATGTTGATGGCAGTTTACTGTGATTTAGTTTCTTACTCTAGCAAATACTTGCAACTTTTGTTGACTTTCATAGGAGTAAGGAATTAAACAGTTTTCATTTAATTGGGTTTCAAAGGCTTGAATTCAGAAAAGGAATTCTAGTGTTGGGAAAGTTGTTGGGCTTTCTCCCCCAGTCCAGATCACCTCATTGATATTGGGGAGCTGTTTGCTCAGCTTTTACTTGTCTTATTCCTGTCATCGTGTATAATGGATCATCCTCAGTGATGAAATATTTTTGTGCTAAGTGGACGTTGCAGACCTGTTTGTGGCAGGTTTGCCTCTAAACAGACAACTCTTTTGCTGAACAGAAAGCCCCTGTTTATGTCTTTTTTAATTTTTTTTTTAATCTGAGAGGGCTTTGATATTCTGACCTGGTTAATACGATGTCAGAAAACTAGCTTAGTGTGTGAAAAGCAGTACATCTGTCAGTAGGGACTGTTATGACTGCACAGGCTGATCTGCTTAATGTAAGCTACATAATTTCGTCAGATGGTACCTAATCCAGTTCTTATTGTCCTTTTGTATTTAAAACATATGATGCTTAACTGTGCATGTAGCAGAGACTGAAGGGTTGCTATAAAAGACAGCATGTGCACCAAAAACCTCTCTAGGCAATGGGAAGGGACTACCTAGTTTCTCTTTGGGAGAGCTACTGTCAAATACTTGATTAAGGCAAGAAACTGCTCTCAAAAAAGCTCCCACAAACTGTAAGAATGTTTTACTTCTTAAATATGCTTTAGAAGGGTGCCTCAGCATGGCATGAGCCTTCTTTTGAAGGTTATATTTCAAGCAACCATTGCCTGACTGGGGGCGTGATCATCCCCCACCCCTCCTTTATTGCCTGGCCTCATACTGTTGGGCAGCTGTTAGTCAAAACACATCCCTTCCTTCTGCCTGGATGAGAATAAAGTTGGGATGGAAGAGTTCTGGTGTATGGCCAAGTGTCTACTCCGGATGAGGTGAGCTGATGGTGTTTCAGGGGCTATGAATGGAGAAGTAGGATTGAGGAGGAACATGTAGGTGAGGAGATGCCTTTTTCTTCCCTTGCCCTTACAGGCAAGGGAAGAAAAAGGCATGTGATAGACTTTGACACTTCTTGCTGTGCAGAGGTGGTTGGCCTATTTCAGAGGCACTTTCTGCATAGGAAGTTGTTTTCTGGGTGATGTCCCAGAGGCCTCTGTGTTTTTCCTGATTCATACCACCCCTGCCCATCTTTCTGGCCCATGCATGGGGATTGCAATAAAATTTAAAATAATAATTTAAAAAAAATAATCCACAACAACAATAAATATGAACTTTGTAGGAGATAGGTACCACCTTTATTTGAGAACTTTCTGTGTGTGCTTGACAGTAATGGAATACTTCTGAATAGTGGGGAGGACAGTATGAATTGTAGCTGTAAGAGTGAGGGGCTTTTTGGCTGCCTCTTCCCTGTCATCCCTGGCAATATTACCTATTACATGATCACAACTAAATAAATACACTAGAAATCTATTTATTTTAAATTAAGAGTATTGTGGAATTCTGTGAAATGGCTACAAAATCCTGAGGCTTAGGAATGCTCTTGTTTGAAGCATGCCTAGGCTGAAACTTTCTGGTTTTTTCCTTGATGATGATGCTTACTGTCCTTTTACAGCAGTAACACCAAAGATCAGAACACTTAGGCAGTGTCCCCCAAAACATGAAGTTGGGGTCAAGGGCAGTGTGTATGCTCTCCAAATCAGTGCCATAGACACTATTCAGTGGGAAATAAGCCTGGATTTTCTGTCCATCTCTCTTGATAACACATTTGTAGGCTTATATGTAGCTTGTGGTTTGAGACGTGTGCTTGTATTCTCTGCTGTATTGTCTCCTGCCAGCAGCATCCCCCTCATCTCCTGTAGACACACTATTACACACAG